ACCATGCCCGGCTAGTTTTTTCTATATATTTTTAGTTGTCCGATTAATTTCTTTCTATTTTTAGTAGAGACGGGGTCTCGCTCTTACTCAGGCTGGTTTCGAACTCCTGAGCTCAAACAATCCGCCCGCCTTGCTAGGATTACAGGCGTGAGCCACCGCGCCCGGCCTATATTGTATTTTAGAAACTCTTCTGCCTGTAAAAAAGACCTGGTTCACCCAAAACTAAGTCCCAGAACTTTCAGAATAAAATATTAAGTTACAAAAATGTACTCCTGTAGCTCAATGAAAGATGACCATTCAGTTTATAAAACAGTAATCTTACATTAAGGTATACAAAATAAAACAAATTAGAGAATACACCACGCTTTCACTACAGAGATGAGCCGTTGCCAACAATGAGCCCAGGTTTAACAAATACTGCACATAATATTCATTACGTCAAGCACAACACAGAGTAAAAACTACATAAATTGATCTCATATAGAATGATGACAACAACTTTTTTTAAAAACTTCCTAAGGTGTTTTACAGGTCTCAGAAAGAAACTGATTCTGTACAGCTGAACCCAAGCTACAGCCGGTGAGAAACACGACTCCGTCGGAATCAGTAGACCAAATCCTGTTTATCGTGGAAGAGAAAACAATCTCGTATGACAACTACTCAATCTTCAGAGAGATATTGTCGAATAAACTCTAATACTGTGACTGATATAAGAAATACTGGCTAGAAGCCGGATTTGGTCCTTAAAATACAACCGGGTTTACCCTGTTCCTAAGGTGTAAACAAACCCATCACTGCAGAAGGTAAACAATGAACCTGCAACAGGGTGAGGAGGCGGTCTTTTGCCAACTACAGTCCCAGCGGCCCGGGAAAGGGAAGCAGAAGGGAAACATAGCGTAAACCAGACACTTAGCAGTAATGACCAGCTCTAGGTTTCACTACCGAGTTATCAATGCTGCGGGTCCCCACAGGGCGGTGGGCAAAAAGAAAAGCAGTCACGCAGTCAGCAAGAACCGAGCAGGTCCGGCTTCTGCTCTGGGGGACGGGGAGGGCAGGATGTGGTCGCTCTTCCCTCAAACATCCTCCTGCAACCTAAATAACAGCCTCTACCTCCCTCCAGCCGCCCCCAGAATTCAGCAGCCTTAGCTCCCGCTTAGGTGTCAAACACCCACCCCCGGGAGTCCAGAGAACCATCAGGGTCGCCGGCTCCGCCGAGTCCTACTCAGTGCTAGCCGGCACCCGCAGCAGCCCGAGGCCCAGAAAAGGGCTTGGGCGAGGGAAGCGGGCACCGGGAAGGGGGATGGGTCTGGCGAGGCAGCCCCGGGCTCGGCTCCCGCGGGCCGGCAGGCGGGGCTCCGGCTCTGTCCCCCGCACCCCCGCCGGTCCCGAGCGGGGCCCGCCCCTGCCTCGGGCCCCCAGCCCCGGGCCCGGCTCCTCCCCAGCAGCGCGCCCTCGCCGGCGCCCGCGGCGCTCCGCGTTACCTCGGGTCAGATCCAGCGGGACGTTCTCCTCGCCGCTGTCATTCCGCCCTGCGCGAAACAGACACACAGCCCCAATTAGGATTCGCTCGCAGGCCAGCTGCGGCTGCCCTGGCTCCGGCCAGCGCCCCGGCTCGCTCCCCTCACCCAGGGCCAGGGGAAGGCAAGTGCTAGGGGTGGCGGACGCCGGGCGGTGGGGAGTGAGGGCTGCAGCAGGCTTACCTCGTATTCGGAGGTTCTTCAGAGAGCGGCCGCGGCCGATCGCCGCCATATTGACGGGTTTCAGTCACAACACCGGAAACCTCGCCCGATCGCGCGAGAACCCCTTCCCCTCCCTGCGCGCCGCGCCCGCCCCCCGCGGCACCTCCCCCGCCCCCTCAGCGGCAGGCGGTGGGTGGTGCTGGCCAGCCCGTCTGCGAAGGGGGTGCGAGCCGACCCGAGGCCAGGATGGAACTCGCGGCTCCCGTCAGTCCTGGACCTGGAGGGCGCGGCCACAGGCCCGGCCGTCCTAGGGCTTGTCTGCCGGGAGGGGGGGTATTTTCCACGAGAGGAATCCCATTGATGCGAGTTTGCAGCGTGGAGGATGCGTCGCGGAAACCGTAGTCCAAACCGAGGCGAGCGGGGGCGGAGGAGGTCAGGATGCGGCCGGCTGGCCACCTGCTGAAACCGTCCTGCCAGCGTCTCCTGTTTGCTTTCAAGCCCTGGGAGAGACGGCTCCGCTTCCGTAGTCATCATTTAAAACGATTTTTATGAAAAGGCTGCGCACAGTTTCAGTCTCCCTTCCTAGAATCACTTTGCTCCAAGTTAACACGTAACAAAGTTTGTTTTCCACCCTCGCTCTGACCACCGTGCTGAGCAACCTTGCACTTGGTCTTCAAAGCCACGCTCGGCTAGGATGGCTTCTCCAAGTGGAAGTGGTTGGGTGAAGGTTTTGTTTGTGGCCGCCTGGCGTAGAACGCGGGAAGTGGGTGCAGCGGCCGGGCGTGCAGGGAGCTCGTCCCGCGGGGGGATCGCTCCCCGCGCCGGCGCCCGGAGGCCCGGGGACGTGCTTCCTCTCCGCCTAGAACCAGGGCGAGGTTGCCGAGCTCTGTGTCCGGGTTTGCTGTCTGGCAGCTCCTAGGATCGTGGCTCACGTACATGTTGTGGATTCATATTTTTTATGCATAAACCTATTAACTGTAGGGATTTTAATGCTAGGAACTTTTTAGTTAATTAACATATATGTACACCTGACCCCTAACTCAGCAACTTTCTCTTAAACCAGATTTACTTTGAAGGAAGGATGAGCATTTTGGCGCCTCCCAATTCCTCAACTCGCCTTTCTGTTTCACGAGACTGAAAGTTAATTGAAAGTGGAGATCTTGCCTTAACCACTTCTCTTTTCCCGGCTCCCAGTTACTGTAATGTCCGGCACAAATAAATGTTCGATAAGTATCTGTTGGATGAGTAAATGCCTTGAATTCTTTATTTGTTCCAATTATCTTCTTGCATTAAAAAAAAAAGGAATATTGGAGATACTACTGCAGTTCTTAATAGTGAACAATTGGAAACACTTAGAGGACCGAAGTTAGGGATTATGGCAGCCATTTAAAATGACGATGTAGATCTAGTATGTTAATAGGAAATGATGTTAATGATACTAAATCAAACAAAAGATTACAAATTTCCTGTTTTTGTGAATGTTTAAAATACATATAAAATTAAAAGTATACTTTATAAACTATTTTATATATGCATGTATGTAGAAAAAAATCTGAGGAGATATACATCAAAATAGTTACTGATTTTCTCCCTTCAGTTGTGGAATTGTACATGCATTTTTGGCCTTGTTTGCTTGTCTGTACTTTTTAAATGTTCTGTAGTTAAATATAGTTCATTTGTAAAATAAAAGTTTCAAAAAGAAAAATACAAGTATAAAGTAGGATGATCAGGAAAATAAAATTTCAGGGTTTTTTTTTTTTTTTAACCATGTCTGCATTCAGGTATCTGCAGCTGATATTGCACTAAGATTTGAGAATGTAACACAGTTACAGTACTTTAAGGAATTGTCTCTTGACATTAGTGGTAGAGTTTTAATAAGGACAAACTTACTCTTTCTGTTACAGCTTTAAAATCTTGGTGCAAAATATTTTTTCTGGTTCCTATACCTAAGACAAAACTTACAAAACTTGAGGTCTTTGAGTCTGGCTAGGACATTAAAAATTTTGTATTTCATCCCTCCATATTTCACCATTATAGAAAAATAGAAATCTCTCAATGGACATTCTACCAGATTCTTACAATTGTTCTAATTTTCAACCCATCCTTTCTGTTATTTTTTTATCCCTATCTATACTGTTAACTCCTTCCTAATACAATTTAACTTCATTTTCTCTTTCAGTCTTTCATGACTGATCTGCTTTTAAATTACTTAAAGTACATAAGTGCCTGAATTCAATAGCCTTTTATTGTTATAACTATGATCCTCTTAAAGACCGTTATTCAATTGCTCTGTCTCTTCCAGGAGAAAAGAGAAATCATCTTTCTTCAATCTTACAATGAAACTAGTTTTTCCTCTGTTACTATTTAAGTCATTTGAGTGATTAAGTTCTACACATATGTTACACATAAAGTGAATGGCATTCTGGGAAAAAGAACAAGTTCTTGATATTTGCAAGTGGCACTCAACTAGGAAGCAGGAGTTTAGGTAAATTTTAGTAAGAGATACATTTTGCAATGTTTTGTTTGCTTTTTAAACAATAGCACTACATTATTGATCCTAGTCAGCTTGTTATTTGCTAAAATCCCTAAGATATCTTCCTTGATACTTTCCAACAGCTAGGCATTCCTCCTTGTGAAACTTGTTTTTCTTCGTTGCTTATTTTAGCCCACCCGTATGACTTACTCATTTTGTTTACTTCTTGTTACTTCTCCAATTTTCATTTTGATTCTAATCTGGTCCTTGAGAATGTGACTTCCTCTTCTTAGTTTTCATTTCCCAGCTAGGTTTCATTTGCTGTGTCAATGAATGTTTTTTTCTGGTAGTATTAGTCATTGATAAAAAATGTTATATAAAAAGTTTGGGTCTAGGACCACACCTCTGAAAGATAACTGGTTGATTCTGAAGATACGGTGACTCCATTGATAGTCACTCTCTGGGTTCTAGTCTCTATCCTGTTGCACACAGTTAATTCTAGTTTATAAACCATATTTTATCAGTTTCAGATACAGTTGTAATGCTGAACAGAAACAAAAGCCTTGCCAAAATCTTAGTTCCTTTTAATCTATCTGCTTTGTTACATAGACCATATGAAGATAAAGCAAATGAAAAACCACAGAATTTGGTCAGACTATTTCTTGGTAACTTCTCTTCATAGTTAAACCACACATTTAACAACTAGATAAAGGCCATTTAAATGACAGGCAATGGACTAAATTAAACAAATGTTTAATCCTACCCCAGGTCGATCAAGATTCAGCTTTGGTCACAGCAGAATGGAGTCCCTTAGTAATTGTTCCTTTAAATTTTAATCTCTGTCCCCAAATCTCATTTAAATTTTATTTTAAACAATTGTATAATATATAAAGATCTTCTATGAAAACAGTTTTAAATGAAGAATAAACCTAGGTTTGTGAAAGAGACTCATAAATATATCCATAAAATAAAATCTAGAAGGGTATATGCTAAAATTTCAACAGTGATTATCTCCAGTTGGTAGAATTTTGACTGATTTTTTTTCCTTTCTTTTTCTCATTTTACTTGCTCTAAAACTAAATTTGGGCAATTTTTGTAAGGAAAACTATTTTAGAGAACTTGTTGGCTATTCTAAACCATAATTATAAACATTTAACTGTAATAACTTGTTTAACAAGTTTATAAGCAATCATATTATAAACAAAATTGTGCATCTTCTCATTAAAAAAGAACATTTGCACATGAACCTCAATACATATGTATTTACTTTTTTACTAAATTAATACATAAAACATAAAAATGAAATAAAAATAGTTAAAAGTTATTTTAATGTTACTTTACTAATGGCACAAATAAAAGCAATAGACATGAATATACTTAATTATTTTTTTAAATTTCTTGTTAAATACTTTGTGATACAGCAATTCAAAAGACTAGTTCTAAGGAGAGTTTATTTGGAAATTGGGTTTTAATAGCTGAAACCTCACAAAATAACAAAGTTAAAACTGGAAGAACTACTCTATTACCTGCAATTTCTAAACCATAACACTTTTTTTTCAATTCTATCCATCAATTATACAAAGGTTTTTAAATGCAATTTGGCTAACAAATGTCCATCTTACCTAATGTCAACCAATTTTTCCTAGCAAACTAGCAAATGTAACATTTAGAAATTTTCAGTAAATGATGACAAAATGTTTACAAAACCATTTATCTGAAAGATTTATGAGCAGGTTAGAAAACTCTGTTTCCATGATTTTAAAGTGTAAAGATAAGAAAATTTATATATGTGACATATTTATATTTTAAATTGTTCTCAGAAAAAAAATCACAAAACTGTGAAACATTTCCAATACCTGTTTTCTAAATGCTGTTATCCTAGCATGATTTTTTCCAAAAGTATTAATTTTCTTAGTTATTATTACCACATTTACCCTGAAGGGAAAGATTAGATTTAACTTAAAAAAATATATATTTGATAAGTCACATGCTCCTAGAAGCCACCAGCCCTCATGAGAAAAAGCTTGCCACTAAATAAATATCAAACATCTGCATGGTACAAAAGATTTGCATAGTCACTCCCCTTCTCATTTCAAAGTGTGTGAAATTAAAGGTCTTGTTTATACAAAGTTATCACATGTGGTACTATCTCTATACTTCTGTCTGAATCCCTTTTTAAATTCCACTTACAGAAACTGTAACAATTTTCATAAAACATTGCTGTTATTAAGGAAGTCGTTTAGTGATAAGGATACACGATATTTGATACTTTTTACTTTGGTACCATGGGAAAAAAGTTATTTGTCTAATTCCTTACGAAATTGAATTAAGCAAACACCTGCACTGAGACAAGGTTAGAAATATTTATGCTTTCACCCAACTGCACAGTGAAGCATCCATAATGCCTATTTGTTCAAATACTTTTTGTTATTGTTGTTTTCCTTTTTCTACCTTCGTTGACCAATAGGACTACATTTTCGTTTGTCAACAAATAGCTTTCTTTGTTGCTTTTTCCAGCCATGTTTTACAATAGCTGGAAATTCCACTATATTCCCCCACTGATAGGTGCCTTATTGTCTATTGCTAATAAGAAGCCT